ATTGTCTTCCGAATGCAACAGGGTCGCTTCGCCAAGTCTCGGAACAAAACCTTTCGAGTGGCCGTGGTGGTGGTGGCTGTCTTTCTTGTCTGCTGGGCTCCTTACCACATTGTTGGAGTCCTGTCATTGTTTATTGACCAAGAAACTCCCTTTGGGGAAGCTCTGATGTCCTGGGACCATGTGTCCATTGCTCTAGCATCTGCCAATAGTTGCTTCAATCCCTTCCTTTACGCCCTCTTGGGGAAAGATTTTAGGAAGAAAGCAAGGCAGTCCATTCAGGGCATTCTGGAGGCAGCCTTCAATGAGGAGGAGCTCACGCACTCTACCAGCTGTCCTGCAAACAAAGAGTTTTCGGAAAAAAACAGTATCAGTACAACTGTGTGAAAATATGGAGCAGGCAACCTTAGCAGATTTCTTAGGTTCCACTCAATGCATGTTTCCAAAAGGATGAAGAATATGGTGAGCAGAGGACTTCAGAACCCACCAACGAATCAATCCAGTGGTTCTCAAGGTGTGGTCACAGGCTATTGACATCAGCATCACCTGGAAACTTGTTAGATATGCAAATTCTCAAGTCCTATCCCAGTCTTGCTGAATCCAAATCTCTGGGAGGTGGGGCCCAGCAAGTGTTTTAACAAGCCCTCTTGTTTCTGATTAATGCCAAATTTGAGAGCCATTGTAAAAAGCTAGTCTATTTCTATCACAAACTAAGCCACGTGAGATAGATGAGAATCTAGTCTGTTTTCAAATGTTTCCATTATATAATTTTTTCTTGTCCTGGGTGAAAGATGATCATTTTTTTCTACAGTTTTGTTGTTTTGTTGCTGTTGATGGTTTTAAATGAAAAGAAGGTGAAAAAGAAAAAAGCCTATGAAAACAGGGAGCTATGTCACAGAGTCTGGAGCTAAGGACAATGCCTGATGCCTGCCACTGGAAACCCCCATGGGTACAGGACGCAGGAATTCCAGGTTTCCACTATCACAACTAAATAAGCATCTATTGTATAAAAACGGTCTACTAATACATCTAAAAACTTACTCATGAAATGTTATGTACGCTGTGGTTGGAAGAGCTGTTTATCAGCCTACTGACAGAGCTATCTATCTCCATTCCTTTTCTTATGCTTCTTAATTCCCTTATTCCTCCCTTGCTCCAAATCTTCCACATCTTCCAAATCTTTCACAAGATTCTAGTTATTCCCTTCCTCTTGCTTCAAATCAACACTTTCCAAGAGCCCCATTGTCCATGAAAAGAGAAAGAAGGTGGAGGATAGAGCAGCAACTCTTCAACTCTCTGCAAGATGAATGAGTACCCTCCCAGGCACTGTGTCACATTTTTAAAAACATGACTGCAGGTATCTTTTTT